CTTTTCTTTTCTTTTTTTTACAAAAGACTGTTTTTTATTTTATTTTATTTTTATTTATTATTAAAAAACCACTATTTGAAAGACTACTTATTTGTTTGGGGGCGAGAGGGCAGAGTGAGAGGAAGAGGCAGACTCCCCACTGGGAAGGGAGTCTGACACAGGCTGATTCCAGGACCCTGAGACCATGACCCAAGCCGAAGGCAGATACTCAATCAAGTGAGCCACCCAGGTGCCCTGGACTTCATTTTGAACATATGAGGAAGGAACTTTGGATCAGTCAAGGGTGTCCAAAGATGCACTGGACTGCTTCATGCAGAAGAATGTCCCTCTCACTAGAAAAGTTCAAGTGCTGGGTGGAATGTTTCAGAAGAGATTCAGACATTGGATTTTTGGTTGATGCTGGAGATAACCTTTTCTGGCTGGTACTAACACTAATAACAATAGTAACAATTAACAAAAAATTGGCTGGGTATAAGGTGCCTGATTATTTATCTGCATTATCTTATTTAATTCTTCCAACAGTATGAGGTACTTGCTATGATTACTACCATTTTAGAGGAAACAGGCTCAGGGAGCTGAAGAATGTGTCCCAAATCTAGACAGAGGGTCTAGGATAAGATCTCATTGGTGAGTGGGACTAAAAATGTAACATTTGAAGTCAAAAGAGTATCTACTGAGATTTGGTACAGACGTGGGCTGGGGGTTGGAGTGGAGTTGAACGGTTTCCTCCATTGGTTGCAAATAAAGGTGGGCGGTTTCTACAGAGGTCTCTGTACAGGAACGGTACAGCAGCGAGGTGGACCAGAAGAGCCCGCGAAGGGTTAGAACAGAGCTGTCTTCTCTAGGTTGGTAGACTTAGTCTTAAACAAACAAATGAATCACACCAATACTCAAACAACATAATTTTTATCTGGCTGGTGTTTTCGATAACCTGTAAAAGCAATTTTGTGAAAACTGCAAGGACTGGTTTAATGGTTGACTCACAGCCCCAGTAAGTTTGTTTCTGATGCTGATATTGTCGGAGAGAAATGGTTGACAGTCATCATTCCCAGCACCAATGGCCAGTGTTCTACTCCGTGTTGAAGAAATAAAACAGAAGACTTGGAGTTCTTTCCCATTTTATCCAGCTCTTGACACTGTTTTTAGTGGGAAAGTGAGTCTGAATACCTAGCCCAACACTGTTGGAAATTGGAAGCCCTCCCAGCAACGTGAAGTTCCCCATTGAGTTCCAAGTGCATTCTATTCTAGATTATGAGTGTTACTTCTATTATTAGCATGTCCCCAGTGTAGAGGTTCTCTCGTCCTTTTCACTTGAAACCACTAGATGGAATGAAGAACGAGGAGGAAGGCCCAGAGGCAGACCCCAATGGCCAAGCATGCAGAACTGGGGGTGCTCAGAGGTCCTGGCACCGTCAGTCGTGCTACCCTGCCGGCTCTGGTCCTGAGCCTGTATTTCGGTGGGCAGGATTCGAGAAAGAACTGTTTGCGAATGATGCTCAATCAACAGTAATCTCTCTGTAGGGAAATGTCAGGCATAGCATCAGGTGGAAGGAACTACAGTGCAGGGACTAGTGAGGGCCATGCCTGCTGCATTCTGAGGCCAGAGTGGATGGATCTCAGGAAGGAGAGGAAATGAAAGGGAGTCTGGGGGGTTGGAGGATGGGTGGATGATGGGAGGGGAAGGGAATGAGGACCCTGAGGCCTGTGCACATAGTGAGAGCTCAGTGCCGGGCATCTGGTCACCTGTGACCTTCAGCTCGACCCTCGAATCTGCCCTCCTTTGGAGGGATGGTCATTCAAAGGTCTCCAAGTCCCAAGGCATTCCAAATCAGTGCTGTCCTGAAGAGCTCGTGGGAAGAAATGAAAAAGACTGCCCAAGCTCCGAGGCTCTCTGTCTCTGGGGACCTGGACGCAGGCTAGGCCTGCCCCACAGCACCAGTTTCTTTCCTTTCAGCATGCCCAAGCTCTCCCCTTGGGTGGGACCCTTGGTGAATCAGAAAGGTGTGCTGTGGGAGGAGGGACAAAGGCCAATCCTCGTTGCCGGGAGCCCTTCGAGATGTAGAGCTGTTCCTACAGGAGGCGTCTGCCCCGCTGCCAGCTCGCGTTTGTCTTGTGGAAGGATGCCACGTTCTTACCTCTCTGGCAAGGCCCGAGGTGTTTGAGCTGGGAGCGTGATACACATCGGTTCAGAGCCAAGCGCTGGTCGCAGAACTGGGTCACCTCATAGACAGGCAAAGATGATCTATCCCGATTGGAGAGATCGGATTTCATCCTTCCTTGTAAAACCCAGCCGTGCCCCCCAGTGTCTGCCAGCATCAAGGAGCTCCTTTGTCCTCTGGTTCCAGAAGGCTGAAGAGTGAAGTGACGAGGGGCATCTCGCCCGCGTCCCCCCACACCCTGCTCTGTTCTCAGCTCTGGGCACTCACGCTGGCTTCTCTGCCTGGAGGCCAAGGAGCCCGTCAGACGCTGTCTAGTGGGGCAGCAGGAGTCGGCTTCTCTCAGAAGCCTGTATGTCTGTAGTTTTATATTTCCAGCATGTGCCAAGACACGCCGCCCGGCTCTTTCCAGAGCAGTGTCTCACTGGCACAGCTTTGGGCTCCGAGGGATGTTTCTCTGTCTCCCACCCCGCCCCTCCCCTCCCCTCGTGTCTTTCCAACTTGTTTTTCTGCTGACTCTGGAGCCCTAGTGCTGGTGCTCTGGGAGGCGCCCTGTAATTGCAAAAATGAGCTGCTGTGAATTATGAGTTAGCACATGCCGCCCCCTAACGGCTCCTGCCTCTGAGTCTTTGGGCTCTATTGGGAACAGATGCCCCGGGGCCTTCGAGGAGGGTCTTCAGCAGGTCTCCTTCCAAGCAAGCTGGCTCCTTCCCCGCAGACAGCTCAGAGAACTGATCTTCGCTCTTGGCCCAGGTGAGGGGAGGTGGGGAACGTCCAAAGTCAGGTGGCTTCGGTATGCCTGGCTGTGAACGAAATTCTCCAACGTTTCACTGCCAGAGATGGAATAACTGGGCTCTTCTAGTCCAGGAATGTTCCTTGGACCGCCCTCACCTAGCAGCTGAGGAAAGGTTCACCCGATCTTTCTACCTGCTCCCTTGAAGTCTCCTTTCTGTGTCGAGAGAGGCGAGCACAGCACCCATGAGCTGTACACACCAAGGGGCTTCCTTCTCCTGGCCTTCTGGTGAGGACAGGGCTGAGTCTGCTGATCTGACCCTCAGAGTCCCCGGTGAGCTTTGAGAGCCAACCCGAAAGCAGAAAGGAAGGTGGGGGAGAGTACACGAGCCTCTTGGAATCCTAGAAATTGGTTGGACGTGGTCCAGTTCTGTTTCAAGGGGAATCTGGGGCTTCATCAAGGAACGGAGTTCGTAGGTGTGGGTGGAGAACCTGGGAAACATTTTGTTTTGGTAGCTGGAAAGCTTGTCTCCCGAAGTGATGGAAAGCAGTTAAAAGAGGAACTCGCTATTTCCTTCCAATAGGCCCCAGTCAGGCCCAAGCCCGTGCTCTGAGTTCTGTTGCTTGGCAGGAAGCAGGGCTCAAGTTAGTGTTCACAAGTCTAGAATGTTTGCTATAGTGGAGCTTCTGGGGGCCGGGGTGTGGAGGGCGGGGAGTATAAAAGAGAGGACAGGCCTGGTCTTCTCCAGCTCTTCTTAAACTGGGGCCAGCAGTCACAGAGATGGTGCACTGAGTCCTGGGGCTGGCTAGTGGGGGCAGGCTGTGGCTCTGGGGCAGGCTGTGGCTCTCCCCTGTCCTGTCCAGGGGTGAGGAGACCAGGAAGCAGGGAAGGTAGGATGGAGTTGTGAGCTAACGGGCTGGGTTTTCATGGGACATGGAAGCAGGTGGACCATTTTCCCTTCCTTGCAGAAATGGAAAAGAAGCACTTAAAATTTTTTTAAAATTTTATTTGGCTCTCCAGTTGCCCAGGCTTGTCTGTCATTAGGAAACAGATCTTTCCCCTGTTTAACTGTAAAGAATGGAGGTTTTTTTTCCCCCCTGCCTTCTGAAAATCTGGAGCAAATTCTGAAACATGAAAATAAAGAAAGTGTCCTCTCATTTGAAAGAACTGACCTGAAATTTTGGCCTTATTTCTCTCTGGGTGCCTGATGGTGCTGACTCAGCCCCAGATGTAGGCAGCGGCTTTGTAATGGCCCTTGTGCCATCCAACGCAGGCCTGACAGAGACAGCTGGTCCTGCTTCAGAGCCCAGAGCACCTGGCACGTAAAGAGTAAAGCTCGCTCTTACTGCTGGTTTCCTCCGGGGAACAGAGCTGGATTGGAGATATTTTCAAGTTATTCTGTTCTACCTCAAGATTTGGTTCCCCACCCCACCCTTCTTCCTCCAACTTAAAGATGGTGTGGCCGGAGAGATGTTTCTCTGCCTTGTTAGCAGTTACTCACTTTCTGCTTTCAGAACATCTTCTATGAGGCCAGGGCCAACTCTGGAGAAGCGTTTCCCCAAAGCCAGGTTCCCGCTGACCTGCACATATCTGCTGTCTGGTTTTTTTTTTGGGGGGGCAAAATTGGAAGTCAACAGAGGGCCCTGGGCTTCGAGATGATGTTTGACACAAAAGGGTATGACCAGAAGACCTCAAAGAGGTCTTTAAATCCCTGACGTTCCGTGATCCCCTGTTAATGTTCTAACAGTGGTTGGAGGAAGCCGGCAAGTTCCAAACATCTTGGCATTTCCTGGGGGAAAATGGCGGAAATACTCAACAGTAGGACCGCAGCTTGTCAGAATGTAGGAGAGAATCCCAGGACAGCCCATATAACAGAGTTGCATGCCAAACCCAGGCAAGCCTGCATTTTGGCTTTGTTGATGTCTTTTGTAGGACCAGAGGCAAAGGACCGCTCTGAGCCTCGGCATCCTCCTTGATGACTGAAGAAGGCATGAGCATTATTTCAAGAGTTTGGTGCTTAGTGTATTGTAAAACATCAATATCATTATTATTATTATTATTATTTTTTAGAGATTGGATTAAAAGGCCCTAAAGGAAATGAACTGTAGAATTGGCTTCTGTGACACCCCCTATGCCTTCTCTGGACTTAGGTTTTGGTAAGTGAAGGGATTTGGGTGAAAAGTAAAATTAAAAGCTTTGGGAGAAAGGCGAGGAAGCAGAGAGTGGCAGTCTGGGCCCTCTTATGGAGAAACCCGTTCAGATCACAACCTGAGACCTGAGAATAGTGTGGGGGAGCAGACCTTGGAGAAAGTGTGGAAATACACACACACACACACACACACACACATGCACGCACACAGAGGGAGAAGAAGCCTGAGATGTCAACTGTGCCTGGGGAATCCAGTGGTGAATATAATCTGACAGAACCCTGGAGTTTATGGTCTGGATACCTGCAGGGAGAAGTTTTGGCTGGAGTGGAAAAGGGGACCTGGCAGGGGAGCCCCAAACTGGGAACCAATCCAAAGCCACGAGCCTGCCAGGCTGAGAGGGGAACTTTGAGCGCCTGCCTGGTAAGCACCTGATTAATGAGTAAGCTGCTGGCTGGCTCAGGTAAGGGTGCACCTGTGATTTGCCTAATCCCTACAAAGCTCACACCACGAGCTCCCCACACACCCTAGTCATTTTTCACCCTGACTGCTTGACTAAGCCTGGATTTCGCCCGAGCAGCCTTTGTGGGTAGGGGCTCCTGAAAGAAAAGTTAAAAAAAAAAAAAAAAATCTGCTTAACAGCAGGTGGTCTTGGCCATTAATAGAAGTGGCAATGAAAACAAAAATAGAAGTTGCTTCATGAACTTGGGAGCTCCAGAAGCTATGATTGAACAAAATGTGAGCAAAGGCTCATGGTCCATCCTATGCTACTACAGAATTTAGACTACCTTGGTGTTTTTGTGGCCTTCCTCGTAGAGTTGGGTTTTTATTTTTATTAATGCATTTTTTTTAACTTTTAATTTAAGGGTAACAAGCTTAAGAAAAGTTAAGAAAAGTTCCAAAAGCCTAAATGTTTAATTTGCTGAAAATCCACAAATTGAAAACACTCAAATGATCAGCACTTCGATCAAGAAACAGAGCATGACCGGTGCCCAGGAGCCCACCCTGTGTCCTTTTTTCCACCATGAGCCTGTGTCTTGCACCATGGTTTAGTTTGCCTGACTTCTCTCTCTCTCTCTCTCTTTTTGTAAAAAATACTGTTGATTGTGGTAACATGCAAAAGACAGAAAATCTATCATCTTAACCATGTTTAAGTGTAGAGGTCAGTGACTTTCCACACTTTCACGTGGCCGTGTAACCATTACTATCATCCATCTGCAGAACTGTCTTCATCTTGCAAAGCTGAAATTTGCACTAACACCCCATTCCTAGTTCCCTGCGCCCCCCTTCCCGGCCATCAGCTGCAGGCAGCTGTCTTTTGACTTCTGCTCTACAATTTGACCACTCTCTGACTTTTGTACGAGTGGAACCATATAGTATTTGCTCTATGGTGACTGGCTTCTATCACTCAGCATAATGTCCTCCAGGTCTATCCATGTTGTCACCTGTGTCAGAGCGTCCTTCCTTTTTAAGGTTGAATAATATTGCATTGTATACATAAACCACATTTTATTTATCACCCATCCATGGATGAACACTGGGGTAACTGCCATCTTTGAGTATGGTGAATGCTGCTTCCATAAGCATTTAGTGTAAAGGACCTCTTCGAGACCCTGCTTTTAATCGTTTGGATATACACCCAAAGCGGAGTTGTTGGGTCATGTGATAATTCCATTTTTAATTTTTTGGGGTGGGGAACCTCTGAACTGTTTTCCACAGCTAATTTTGCCTGTTTTTAACTTTATATATGTAGGACTGTTCAATAAGCACTCTTTTGTCTGGCTTTTTTCATTCAAACTTGTGTTTGTGAAACTCAGTTTTTATTGATATAATTTTTAACAGGCACCCGGTGTTGTCAGGAGTGGCCGTGTACTTGATTTTTATTTTCTTGTATTGGATATTCTCTCAAATTTTAAGCTATATTTTCTATAGGTAGATCCTCAGTTATTTTTTACTGGTGTAGCATTTTGTAAGAGTATTCAGTAAAATGTTTCAAAAGAACCCATGTATAGGGTCTGTGGGTCTAGTTCCTTGTGGGGACATAAGCCACCACTCTCCATTTCTGTTGTTGCCTTAATAGACTTTACGGCCTAGAGAGACAGATACCCAAGTGAATATTCCTGTGTGACCCATGAGTTGGGCCTACTCACTCCAATTTTAAGATTGGTTCTATCATTTTATGATAGAGAACTTTGATCAGCCATTCAATTACCGTGGCTGATTACCACTGCATAAGGTAATAAAGCTCTGCATTTCCAAACTTCCCCTAAATTGCCTTTTTCTAATGAATGCTTCCTCCCACAATGACCCAATTAAAAAAACTAACAAACAAAAAATAACCAACTGCAGTTGAAATCACATATTTGTAGACTCCCTGAAACACCTATGGGTTTCACTGAATACTTTCTTTCTTTCTTTTTTTAACCATTTCTGTAGAGAGCTGGGAGAAACATTTTGAAAATCAGATGATCTAATTAGCTATGTGTTAACCTCAACTTAAAAAAAAAAAATCTTCCTTTATTATTTAAATAAATTTTCCCCACCCCCAAAGTCTGCCTTTATTTATATTAAGTGAACCCAACCCCCAACATGGGGCTTGAACTCATGACCCTGAGATCAAGAGTGGTGTACTTGACCCACTGAGCCAGCCAGGCGCTCCATCTTCTCTTAACCAAGTCTTGTTTAAGTATTCCAGAGAATCCCGGTTATGCTCAAGAAGTAAGGGAAGTGTGTTCTAACTTGGTCAGCGGGAGTGTGGTAACCGCATAATGGTAAGAATGTCCTTTGAGGACAGTGCTTCCGGGAATAGAGATGGGGACCTTGAGGTCCAGCTGCCCTCCATAGGGTCATCAGCCTGTGGTTACAAAGAGCTGGCAGGTCTGCTTCCATGCTCCCTGGTCCTCTGGGGATAAGGCACGGAGGAGGGAGGGCAGGACATGGTATATTTAGGTGGAGTGAGGGGTCCTGGGTTTGAGTCCCTCCTCTGACACTTACCAGAAATGTGATATGGAGCAAGTCACTTGACCCCACTGAATTTTGCTTTCTCCACTTGTGGAAACCGCATAATTTATAGATTTTAATTGTATTGTGTCTGTTGTCTTTTTCTTAAGGCCTCCATTCCCAGAAAAATCAGGTCTTTGAGGTCCTTCTTTTGCTGGGAGGTTTGTGGTGCAGGACTGACAGCAGAGTTTTCCTGAATCCAAACCCACCCTCTGGGCTTTGTTTTGAAAGCTTAAAGTCATTTAGCAGATAATGCTAGCTCGTGCCCAGAAGATGGGGTGTGTGTGCAGGGTGTGGGGCCGGGGGTGGAGGGAATGGAGGCTGCCATTCTTTGTTCTGTTTTTGTTTTGCTTTTCGGTGAGAGGAGAATGCCTCAGAACAGAGAAAATGCTTTCCAGTAGCTAGGAAAGAGTTGGTGGGTTGGGGATTCTAGAAGGAGCCTCAAGAATTTGAGTCCTGTGTTGTCACAGTCCAGCTCTCAGGAAAGTGGCCAAACCTGGGAAGGGAATGGCTGCTTGGCTCCCTAGAGGCAGCAGGCAGACTTTCCAAGGTACCTAGTGGGCCACTGCAATGACATGTCAGGGATTATGAGTTGAGGGACAGAAAAGTAGAGGGGTCCCACCTCCAATGTTCTCCTTTGTTTGTGACCCTGGAACCGTCTCTGCCTTTTGAACAACTGTGAGGACTGGAATGAGAAGTGAGAGTAACAAGGAGTTAAGGTTGAATCCATTTAATAGAAATGAAGAAACTAACATTTCTTACGGCCTTAATTTCTGGAGCAAAGTTCCTACTGGCCACCTGTACCTTTAATGGGAACATCCTAATGTCCAGCTAACAGAACTCCCTCGGGAATTAAGAGAGGTAGAGAGGTGGCTTATTGGACAAGTAAGCTCTCTACCAGTTGCTTTAGGACCCAGCTTGCCCAGTTACAGAGAGAGCACACGGGCCCCAGTCTCCTCTGTGGGTTGGAGGAAGCGGAAAGTTACCCCTGGGGAGGCAGGCTTCCCTGGGTTTCTGTGTGGGTGTCAGGCTCTGCTGCATCCGTCAGCAGCCCAGAGCAGGATGCTGACAGCTGGGGCTGCTTCCTCTGTGGGGTGAAGCAGGGCATGGCCTCTCAATGCAGACACTGCAGATTTTGCTTAGTTTTTCGAGGAGAAGAGAGAGACTCAAATGCATCTCAGGCCAAGCATCGGAGATGCTCTGACAGGCTTCTGTGTCTGCCCTCTGACATGCCTCCACCGTCTGGTCCATCGCAATGGCAGATAGTGCTGGAAAATGATTGCTTTGTTCCTGTAGTAGTAAGTCATTCACACGGAATTTGGGCTACTGATCAGGGAGGGTCTTGGTCAGCAGTGTTCAATAGAAATTCTACCTCCAAATACTGAGCCATTATTTTCAATTTTTTTTGTAGCCACATTATAAAAAGTAAAAAAAGAAAAAGAAAGGAAAAAAAGGTAAAATTCATGCTTATAATTTTTTTTTAAAGATTTTTAAAAATTTGTTTGAAAGAGAGAGAGAGCATGAGCAGGGAGGGGAGGGGGGGCGATGCAGACTCCCCAGTGAGCAGAGAGTCTGATGCAGGGCTCGATTTCAGGATCCTAGGATCATGATCTGAGCCCAAGGCAGAGGCTTAACCCACTGAGCCACCCAGGCATGCCCATGCTTATAATTTTTATCCTCTATCACTCAGTGTATTAAAAATACTACCACAGCAACATGGAATCGATACAAAATATAAAAATATATTACTATAAAAATATACACAGGATAGTTTACATTCTTTTTTTGTTTTTCATTGGAATGTCTGAATTCCAGTGTACATTTTCTACTTACAGTGCATCTCAGTTGAAACTAGCCACCTTTCATGTGCTCCGTGATCACTTCGGGCTTCTGGCTTAGACAGTGCTGGTCTCTACCCATGGTTTTCAACTGGAGATAATCCTCCCCCCTGTCGATAACTGCAGATACATTTGACTGTTGCACCTGGAGGGAATCTATTGGCATCTACTGGGGATGTTGTCAGACATCCTACAACGCACAGGACAGCCCCCACAGCAAGGAACGTTCTGTCCCAAGACACAGATAGTGTCAAGGCCAAGAGACCCTAGTCTGAACACATCCCTACTCCCTGCTTTTCTCCACAGCAGTGAGAATGAGGCACCAAGAGCCACGGGGTGTCAGGACAGGGGCTGACACCCAGATCCCCTCAATCCATCCCCGGGGCAGTCCCCTACCTCACCCACGACCACCTCCAGCTGTGTGATGGTAGCCGTTGTCCCCAGTCCTTTTTCCAGCTCAGCTCAGCAGATGAATCCAAGTGACAGGTCCCAAGGCCCAGGCAAGAACCGCCTCCCCCGCCCCCCACCCAGCCAAGTTCCACGGCACAAGAGTTTCCTTTGTGTTACATGAAAATTTTGAGAAAATTCATACACTTGTCGGAACCTGAAAGACTAGAAGAGACAAAGGAAACGCCGAGGTCAGCAAGAATCCTGCAGCTGATGCTGGGCCACCTCTGGATGAGGCCCTCGGAGCCTGGGTGTCAGAGGGGAACATCTTCCAATCAGATCGAATTTCTTATTTCACTGTAAGAGGACCGTTTTCTGAATGTCTGGGTCAACGTTTATTCTCATCAGGCAAAAGTACTTTTCAGTGACGGGAAGCCACAGCCTAGAAGTAAAATGACCAAGCATGTTTCCCTTCCCTTTGTCTCCTCTGGGGTCCTACCCGCGTGCAGGTGCACAGACAGGGAACTTGTTGAAATGTCTGTGCAAACCCACGGGAGAAGTAGTGAGGGAGGGAGTGAATGAGTTGCATAGAGCAGCTTCGGATAGAAACTAACCTTTCTCCCGGTTTGCTTCAGGGTTAAGTAACCTGTTGAGTAAGTGTCACCTTTTACGGTCCTTCTCTCCTGACCCTTGGCCTCCTTTGGCGGTGCTGCGGCTCCCAGCCTTCTGTGTGCACCCAGCCCCGCCCTGCACTCCCACATTTGTTTGTGGATGGCCCGATTCCACGCTGGGAAGTGATGTGGGAAGGGAGAACCCCCGGACGCCTTCCTCCCCAGCCCTGAGCCTGGCCGAGGGGCTTCCTGTGAGAACCTCCCTTTCCCTCTGCCCCACGCTCCTGGAGACGCTCAGACCTCACTTCCTACCTCAGGGACCTCTGCACCCTCCTGGAGCCTGTCCACCCTCCACAGGGAGAAGGCGCCCTTCCTGCGTGTTTCTGCCAACCAGGAGCCCTTGAGCCCCTGCCAGAGCACACTCAGATACCCCCGCAGCTTGAGGAGCCCCAAGCATCCATTTGTACCGCCCGTGTGGGTTTCCTTCCAAGACTCTTGCTGGGTTTTGCCCACCTTTCTGCCTTTTGCTGCTCACCAACTTGGTAGAGGATGAGTAAACAGCACTCAGACTGGCTCCTGCCATTTTGTGGTTAGAAAGGAGCTCAGAGCTGTTTGCGAATGAGATTGGCAGAGAAGCATGTGGCTGTCACATGTGGCTCCCTCCCGGAGCCCCGGCATGACCCCCAAAGACACGGATGTCAAGGGACTGAATCACACGGGGGAATTCCCAGCCCTCTGACCCAAGGTCGTGTCCTGGGCCTTTTTCTCCCCTTCCATGGTCCCTGTTTTTCTCATGCCATCAGTAGGAGATTGAGAGGTCTCTAACTCCACGGCATGGGCTGGGTGTGGGGTCATTAGGACGACAGGCCCTGCTCTGGGACTTGGGCTGAGAATGAGAGGCTCGTTTCGGAACAGAGGGAGAGAGCGTGTTACCTGGCTATGGATTCGTCGACTTAACCCACTGCCAATGGTGGGGACAAATACCTGGTCACACAGAGCAGCTAGTTTCAAGGGCACGGCCACCGTACCCACTCCCGGTTCTGTGCGGTTGCCCAGTGTGCTCACGTGGTCAGTACCTCCGCAGAGAGGGACTATTCTGTCTGCGGATCAAGTACAAACTAAGCCCTTTCCAGACCCTGAGAGCTGCCCTCTTCAGAGAATTAAACCAGGGCTATTTCTCTTTCCTTTTTCTCATCCCACGATTTTATTTATTTTGCACAATATACACAGATGTCTTTCTTAAATGAGATGAAGCCCAGAATCCAGGGATCTGGTCGAAGGACAGTGGGTTTCCCTACATCACTCACAGGAACTGGCCTTCCTCTTGCCTGAGTCCCGGCTCTCATTAGCTGGAATGCCAGCCCTGTGTTGGGAGGGAGGGCGGCCGCTCTGTTGCCCTCAGCACCTCCGGGGCAGCTGGGCTGGGGCCGGAAGTGGCGGACAAAGCATGTTTCCGTGGTCCCGCGGAGCTGTCTGCAAACCACCTCCCCAGGCAGGCAGCTTCGGCAGCTGGACCAGGTTGCACGCCTTTGCGCTGCAGACAGATGCCAGGACCCACATCAACGTCGCGCTCCAAACACGGAAACGTACCGGAGAAAGCGTTGTTTTGCATCCAGGTCCTGGTTTCATGGTCGTCTTTAATGACCCAGCCCATCACTTTGGCTGAATCTGAATGAAAATATGTTTGGACAGGGATGAGTGCCATAGGTGCTTTCATTAAAGTGATTTCAGAGCACCACTGACCCAGGTTCTCAGTGGGACACGAGGCTTCCTCCCGTGGGTGTGGACTGGCCAGTGTCAAGGGAATGCCGCGTTTCGCTTTTTTTGCTCCATCTGCTCACTCTGTTGGCTTTATTTTTATTTTACAAGACAACGCAATGTTTTGGTGGAGGGTGAGTACCCAGGGGAGTCATTTTCAGGGAGAGGATATGAGGACATTGGCACAAGGAAAACTTTATGTTCTAACTGCATTTATTTTTCTGTCCCCCCCCCCATGATGGCTTACAAAGTTGGAATTTCAGAAACCCTTAGAAAGACAGGCAGTTTGATTTAATGGTGCACAAATGAATCCTAAAACCATCCGTCCCCAAGCTTGTCTATGTTGGAGAACTGTCAGGCCAAACAGAGCTATAAAAACTGTTCTGTGCTGTCCAGTGGCTCAGCCCCGGACGCAGCAGCGGCCAGCCGCCCCCACTTTGGAAGGGTGTTTGTTGAATCCTGGCGCTGGCAGAGTTACCGCAAGTCATTCCTGCTCACTCCTGCAGCATCTCCCGAAAGGAAAACACACTCAGAGTCTGGGTCTGGCCTCTCTCTCCCGTGTGGTTTCCAGGCCTCTGCTTGGCTGTCACGTCCATTGTCCCCTAGAGCCTGGGGCAGTGACGGAAAGCAGGGCGTCACCAGTGTGTGGGAAGATGGCTTTGTCATCCTACCCCACTGCCCTCATCCCTCAGGTCTCTCCTGTTGGTACGCATCTCATTTCCCAGCAGATTTCCAAACAAGGGACTACATTTAGATCATCAAAGAGCCCTTGCTTTGGGAAGGCATATGCTAATGAGGCTGGGCCCTGGACCCTGCCGATCTCTCACAGTTGCCCCCTTTCCTGCTGGGCCTGGGCCTTTGAGTCCCTCCCCCTCTCACTCCTCCCACTTGCTCGCCCATCTGCAGTGCAAGGGGAGAGCAAGCTGCCTGTTTACCTTTCTCTTTCAACACTGCCACTGATCAGAAATCCAGAAGGGTTCAGATGGTCAGAAAGCTTCAGCCTGCTTAGGACACATGTGGAATGGAAGAATTAGAACTTCTGTGGCCCCAAGAGGTGGTACAGATGGAAAGCATAATTAAGTGCCCCCCCCAAAAAAAGTTTTCGATTGATTCATAAGTGACCAATTTTTAGAATTTTCAAAGGGATCTGGAGGTTACTTATATGTTAGCCTCTGCTTTGTACAAAAGAGACAGAAGGATGAAGCAAATGTCCTTGCATTCAAAGCCCTCACAGTCTAGAAGGGAGGTGAGCTACCTGCCTACAGAGCAGGTAGGTGGGAGATCCCCACCCACACACAATGAGCGGAGCCTTCCTGGTCCCTCAGCTGCAAGACCTTTCTCAGCAGGGGGTGAACACAAAGGAACACAGATCAGAGTAATGAATGCATTTACTAAAAAATGCTCGAGGGGACCCTGAATCCCTGAGGAATTGGGTATTACATAGAACATGGTGAAGACTTAATGGGGAAAAAGTCCCCTTACCTTCCCAAGTTCCCAGGTTCCATATCTCATGATGATGGCTGAAAACCTCTTCTCTCGTAGAGTCAGGCCTCCTGCTGTGTGGCTGTCTCATTTCCTCCTCTCCTTTGTCTACCTCACACCACATCGGCCCCCACGGCCAGCCCCGTGGACGAACGCTGTTCTCCTTCTCTGCATTCTGTTGGCCGCCCCTCTCCATTTCTATACCCACTTCCGCAACAGCCAATGGAGGCGTTAGGGGGCAGAGCAAAGGAAAGGGGTCCTTTCTGATAGTGCTGAACAGCACTTGAGTCTCGGGCTCCTGAAGAGCAGGGAAGGTTAACCTCCCCAAACTTTGTGACTGAAATCTCCCAATCCTTTTTTGTTCTGGGAAATGACTTACTACAGAGAACCATCCTTCCGCACATGACTTAGATAAGACCCAGTGTTATCAGCTGAATGTATCCATCTCCTCAAAATTCCTAAGTGGAAGTCTTGAGTTCCCAATCCCCCGTAACTCAGAATGTGACTGCATTTGGAGATAGGGTTTTAAAGAGGTGATTAATTTAAAATGAGGTCATAAGGGCGCCTGGGTGGCTCAGTGGGTTGAGCAGCTGCCTTCGGCTCAGGTCGTGATCCCAGGTCCTGGGTTCAAGCCCCGCATCGGGCTTTCTGCTCAGCGGGGAGCCTGCTTCCTCCTCTCTCTCTGCCTGCCTCTCTGCCTACTCATGATTTCTCTCTATCAAATAAATAAAAATCTTTAAAAAAAAATAAAATAAAATGAGGTTATAAGAATGGGACCCTAATCCATTATGACTTGTATCCTTATAAGAACAAAAGGTCAGGACACAGACACAGGTCACAGACAGCAGGACAACTATGTAAGCTGTCCACAGGGAGAAGATGGTCATCTACATGCCAGGAGAGGGGCCTCGGAAGGAACCAACCCTGACGACACCTTGATCTCAGACGTCCATCCTCCAGAACTGTGAGAAATACATTTCTGTTGTTTCAGCTCCCCAGTCTGTGGTGTTCGTTATGGCAGCCTTAGCGGACTAAGACACCCAATGTCCAATCTTTCTTGGGACCCCCCCATGTGACTCACGATGACTCCTGGGACAAGGCCAGACACAGACCCTCCAAATCCCTATCTTCATTTCATAAATGATTAGCTGAACTGTTTGTTCCCCCCAGCTTGCTAGACACAGAGGTAGACCTATCTTATTCAGCTGACAGACAGACCCCTTCTGATTACGAAATCATCCCAACTGTGAAACGACCCACCTGCGGCTTATCTACTCTTCCCTGAAATATCTAGACAAGGCCACTGGTGAGACACTCTGGTCTTTGGATCTGGGGTGCTGCTTCCACTGCAACAGCCTGAATAAAATCAATGCCTTTACCTCCTTGTCTTTTGTATTTGACAGTTCAGTGCTGTGACTGTACGGAGCTGGGAGTCCATCTGGACCCCCGCTTCTCCATCCAGATACTGAAGCCCCTCCAGCCTGTTGTGTTCCTTTCTCATCTGGCTTTCCAGGGATCCCATGCGAGTCCCGCTCCTGGTCCTCTGCTCTGAACATTTGTCTGTCGTAGCACGGTAAGGACTGAAGTTTGATTCTTGGTTTGGTTGCTCTTTTGGTTTTTGTCCTTTTGCTGGTTTCTGTTCAACCCTGGTACTATGGAAACTCTGAATCTCCTTCTCTGCCCTTTCTGAAAATCTCCTCTGTTTATACGCTTCACCGCTATGGCGACAATTCTGTTTCTTATCTCAAAAAATGGCACAATTTTACTGAGAACTACTTAAAATTGCAGTGGTCTCTTTGGGGTCCCTAAACTCTCCCAAAACTGGTCCATATAAGAGGCACCCTCAAATCTCAGGGCTTTAAGATCTCTCCTTCTCCACGGTCAGCTCATTGTGCTTTGCAAGGAGGGGAACAAATGTACTTAAGAATGTCTCTCTCGATGTCTTTCTCATGAGTAGCTCTCTGCTTCCCAGTTCCCTATCATAACCCGTACGATTGGTGCTTCCTACCTGTTATGGAAAGCTTGCGACCGAAATGCCCACCTGAACAAGGACTTACTCAGAGTTTCATGCTCTTGGTAAAGAATTTCCAGACAATAAGAGTAGGGGAGAGCTTACAATTAATTCAGACTGGTCCTTCAAGGCATATTCACCCGTGATTGCTGATTTATAACAACTTGTGCAGTGGCTGGTGGGTCCCAAAGCTGCCACTGTATGATTTGAAAAAGCCAAATGGGCTTCATGAGGACCTTCCAAAAAAATCAGAACACCCCCAAGGCTTACAGGCCAAAACCACTGGGGGAGGATTTTTAGAATCCATTCCCACTGTTTTCTCTCAAAAATTGATGGCCAACAACACAAGATTGCAGGTGACAAAGAGATGAACCCACCTCTATAGATACAGACTAGAAAATGCTGGCAAGAACTACTTCAGTCTTGCTCCTGACTACTAACTGCTCTTTGTTACTAATTTCGTAAATAGCTTACAACCAGAACTTAGAGATATTATCCAAAAGTGTGTTGTTAAAAAATAAAATACTCCTCTCTCTGAAAATGTACACTCACTTAGCACCATGGAGACACCACGGCAGGAAAGGTCAAATCAACACAGAGCAAACCGAAGCCTTTACAACTTAACTAATTAGGAGAAGCAAGTCAGGGCCGTCTGCTTCCTCCAAAACTCCCCATAGAGACACTTATAGATAACATCAATAAAAAGGATGTTGGACTTGGGATTGTCTGCCTTTAAAATGTAGAAGGGAACAAGAATCCAAATTCCATCTCTCTGATGACTTTCTGAGGGACCCTCCTCCTGTGTCTACACTAACATGCAAAAGGAGTCAGTCAGTCATTCCCATGAATGGGCACCCCACTCCCTTCTTGTGGAGAACATACAGCACATCCTACCGTTAACACGTCTCATTTCCCACCCCCCTCCCTTGTACAAAAACCATCCTGTGGAGGGACTTGATAACTGTTCACATGACTGCCTTTCTCTGAACCTCTTCCAGTCTTACTAGGATCCCTCACTACCCAGAATGGCTTTCTGCTTAACTTCTCTACTCAGTGAACCTTCTGGAAATGTTTCCAACTAGAATATCCATCTTCTCGGCTCCTGCAACAACCTCATCATTGAGGTCCTTGGTTCCCTGCTCACAACTTTTCCCTTTCATGACTCTCATTGACCATCAGATTTTTCTTTCTCCTGTCAAAATTCTGAATCCCATTTAAAGCCTCAAGTACCAACTATGTTCTTGCCTTTCTTTCAGCTGCTCACTCCACTGACATAGACCATAGGAACCTGAACCTCTCCAAGTAGAAAAAAGATTTTTCTGTATCACACTTAGTATAGTACCCTCTACCATAATACCCTCCAAAACAAGAATCTTTTAAGGTCTTGAGCCTATAACTCAAGGCCTCCTTAACAAGTGAATCTCAGCCCCCACATCCGGTTCCTGTAATAGCCCCATCTTCCCCTTGAAGAAGTCAAGTGGAATACCACCTAGTCCAAGACTTGAGGCCAATGAACAAAATAATTGCTTTCAGGTTTCTTCTAGTTCTGAAGGACCCCAGCCACTCTCCCCACCCACCCTACTTGCTTCATATTTATCAGCTTATGTTCTGTTTTTTCGAGTATATTTTTTCAACCCTGATGGATAGTATTTTTTGAATTCATACAGAAAAGTCAACAATACACATGGTCCATTTGTCTCAGGGGTTTACTGAGGTTCCTACTTATTTGGCAAGGGACATAAATACAGACTTGAGAGAGTGAACTCTCCTCTGCAGTTCCGTCTTTATCCAGTATGTAGATGACATTTTTTTCTGCTCACCTGATTTTGACAGCTCATTTATTACCACCCATCACTTATTCCAATCTCTTGCCTGAAAAGGTCATAAGCTTTCCAAAAACAGAATGCAATGATGCAGTCCTCAAGTGCATTATCTTAGGGCATGAGATCTTTAAAAGGAAGATTTTATTCCCTAAATGAATTAAGATTTTTATCAATTTCCTTCTTCCTGAGACCAAAAGATGACTCCAAGTGTTTCCATAATTAGTTGACTATTCCAGAAACTGGACTCCTAATTTTTCCACTATGGCATCTCCTTTATGTGCTGTGGCTAAGGAGATAATCCCCAAACCCTTTAGTTACTCTCCTTCCATACCTGCATTTCGAAGCCTCACATCATCTCTATCTTCCCTTCCCATGTTTGGATTCCCTGTTTTGGACTCATCGTCCTTTTCCCTTTTTATAAACAAAGGGAAAGAACATGCTTTGGGGTCTTCACGTATGTGCTTATAGTCAATGCGCTTTTGGAGTTGTCCATGATTGTGTCATATCATGGAAATAAAGCGGGTCACCTACCAAAACTGCAGCCCAAGTCACTGGCCAAGTGGAGGCTTTAACCAAGGAATTAAATAGTCTCAATTAAATAGTCTCATAATAGTAGCCACACCTTCAACATTAAAGGAAACTCCTCATGTGACAAATATGCCATAATAGCTGCTTCCCAAGAAAAATTTCCTTGGTTACCTGCATATTTCCCATTGCTCAACCTTCTATAGAGATGGAAACTCTACTTAAGAAGCTTAGGGCACATCGACTGCTAACACCGCAGCATAATAAAACTAATTGGAAATACGTTGGATATTTGATCCACTCAGATGAGCTTTGGAGAGGCCCAGATGGTTACTGGGTTTCTTTTCTGTCCCTTAGATGACCACAGCCTCCATAACATTGCACATCATGGCAAAGGGAATCTTAAAGGTTTCCTCCATATTGATGAGGTGGCTTTTGCAACCTTCACATTGAGCACATAACATCAAATTGTCCCATGGGTCAGAAACATAATTGTGGTGAAAATGTAAACGTAGGACAAAGATAAGAACCAGGCCCCTCTGTCCCTATCTTCATTGACAAATGGGTCATATCCAGTTCCCAAAGTCTCCTGAGCATGAACATATTCTAACCTTAGTCTTATGTTTTTAAGATAATTAGAAGTGGTTTTTTTAAAAGCTGTTTTTGTTTCCAAACTACTGAGCTACTGCCACCATAGTAGCTTCTACAAAGAATATTGGTCACTTAGGGGAATCCCTTTGTTCTTCTCCAGTGATAGAAGAACTCATTTCATTGCTGAGGTTATGTGGGACATTCAATGAATATTCCCTTTCTCACAAAAATTGCGCTGTCCTTATCACCTTCAATACTCTGGAAAAAATGAAATGGGTTGATGGAACTCTAAAACTTGAATTCATCAAGCTCACTGAGGAAGTCAACCTGCTTTGGCCCAAAGTCTTGTCTTGAATACTGATGATTCTTTCCTCCTCCCCCTCCAATCAATATTGATTGTTTCCTTATGAAACAATTACCAGCTCAGTGAAGATCCCTTTGCTCCTCCTGGACCTTAGAAGATCCTAACCTGACATAATCCAATGTCCTTAAATACTGCCAAGGTCTTATTAAATACTCTCATACTTATTACTAACAGGCTACATCTGCTTTTCTCCCAGAGGCTCAATGGCATCCCTTATCTGATCTTCAGATTTGAGACCTAATTTTCTGGAAAGATACCACTGAACACTGATCTTGAACCAGGAGAAACAGACCTTATACTGCTCTCCAAACCACCATATTGCCGCAAAACTACGTGGAGTACAACCTTGGGTTTCTGTTTCATAACTAAAAAAATTAAAAGCCTTGTTCTGAATGGAAATCCATTCTAGTTGGAGGTTTTAAACTGAGGGTCCATGAAAGCCCCCAGAAACAGATGACACCACAAAGGAGACTGCTTTCACAAGATTCAGAACAGGTAAATGACATCCCCATGTGTTGGGTGTGCATCCTGTCCAGAGTTTCACAGGTAGACCTTGTTTTACTGTACTCTCAAATAATGCAACTTTTTACAGATTGAAGGTTAGTGACAACCTTTCATTGAGCAAGGCTATGGGTACCATTTTTCTAACACATTTGCTTACTTTGTGTCTCTGCATCCTATTTTGGTCATTCTCACGATAGTTCAAACTTTTTCATTGCTATTATATTTGTTATGATGATATGTGGTCAGTGATAAGATTCTAAAAGCTCAGATGGCGTTTAACATTTTTTAGCAATAAAGTATTTTTAAAATTAAGATATGACTTTTTTAAAGACATAATGCTATGCCATACCTAACATAGTATAAACATAACTTTTATATGCACTGGGGAGGAAAATTTCATTTGCCTTGCTTTATCGTGATACTCAGTTTATTGCAGTGGCCTGACCCTGAACTCACCATGTCTCTTAGATTGGTCTGTAAATGTTACTCTGCAGCCATTGACTTAACAAATGATTCACTCGTAGAACGTGATCCAGCAGCCCCAGGGAAAACTGCCTCCAGCTGAATTTGTGCACAGGGTCAAATCTGAGCCAACAACTTTACATGTGGACTAACGGTGGCACAGATCTGGCCATCTCCATTGCCTCATTTCCAGACAGTTTGTCCAGCACAACCTCATGACGGTGTTGAGTAAGAGGAGGGACTGGCCGCAATGTTGAACTTTACCTGAGTCATGGTGGTTCCAGAAGACAGTGAAGGTTAATCCCCTAACCTTTTGTTCTCCAAAATCTCCTACCCTATCCTTTTGTGATCTGGGAAACAGCTTTTGCAAAGAACAGCCCTGCCCCATGACTTAGATAAGACCGGCTGTCCACTTGTCTTTGTGACCGCACAAGAATCACGGGTGACCACATAATTTACCGGTGACCAGGTCAGACACAGGCCCTCCAAATTCCATCTTTTTCTCATAAATGATTACTGAACTCTTTGTCTTCCAAAACCAGGTGGACACAGAGATAGACCTCTCTTGTTCAGCTGACTGACTGACTTCTGATTACAAAACCATCCTCACTATTAAATGACCCACTTGTGACTTGTCAACTCCTCCCTATAAACATGTGGACAAAACCACTGCTGAGACACTACCCTGGTCTGCAGACCTGGGGTGCTCTCCCTACTGCAATGAGGAACTAACTTTTATTGAGCACTTAGTATGGGTAAGGCACTCTTCTGAGGGGTATATTACCTCATCTAACCCTCACAACAATTCTGTGAGGAAGGTATTGTTTCCCCCCAGTTTTCAGAAGGAGGAAGCCAAGTTACGTAACTGGCCTTGTGTCCCATGAAAGAAAATGGCAGATTTGAGGTTCAACGCCAGCGTTCTTTCTTTACAGTCTGAGCTACGGCTATGAGTTCTCATACATTAAATACACACTTGTTCTGCCATACTAGTGATAGAAACCGACAGTGCTCTGCAAAGCCAATAATTAAGAGATGGAGGAAGGCTTCTAAGAAGGTGGCATTTGAGCATCATAAGGAAGTCTGGAAAAGCCTTTGTTGAGCAGAGATGGAGAAAGGATGCTGCAGGCCATGAATAGGTTCATGTCCAACAGACAACAAATCAGGGTTGGGATTCAGGCGAGCTTTTTTGGGACCAAACTGCAGATTTAGGAATCATCCACGTGGGAGTGCTGGGAGCATTGAGAGAGGTTTTTCTGAACATCAGTGGGGCTAGCGGTCGCATGGCTGTCCGTTGATGAGGTAGCAGGAAAAGTCAGAAAGTATCAAACACTTTTTCAAGAAGTGTGGTGGTGAAAAAAATGGAGAAAATATAAAAACAATTGAAGGGCCAGCAGGGTCAGGCAAGTGCTTAAAACACACATAGCATGGTGACGTCTGTAAGCCACAGAAGTAGGTCTCGAGCTTTACTCTTTTCCAGGTACGGGGCTGAGCTCAACATTATTTGACCCCTCCCCGGATCCTGCGAAGTGGATACTGTAGCCATCTCTGTATTATGGACGAGGATAGTGAAGCTCAGAGAGGTTAACAGGAACTCGAGGGATGTGGAGCCCCCGGAACTCTCACCCATATGCTGCCCGTGGGACTACCAACTGGTACCACTGCCTTTGGAAACGGTCGGGCATTTTTTATAAGGGTAAACATGCACTTACCATAAACCCTAGCATTTGCTCTCTGAGGAGCTGGTTCTCTCCAAGAGAAGTGAAAACCTGTCCATACAGACCCTTGCCCACTAGCGTTCATAACACTATTATGCAGAGAAGCACCACGTTGGCAAATACCCAATCGCCCATGAATAGGTGATGGATGAACGAGCCGGGACATAGCCATACAAAGGTCACTACTCAGCAATGAAAAAAGCATGGCCTACTGATATATGCAGCCACTGGGGATGAATTGCAAAAGCATTATATTAAGAGAAAGAAGCCAGACACAAAGAAGAGCACAGACAGCGTGATTTTGTTTATAACAAACTCTTAAAAAAGACAAATCTAATCTCTAGTGACAGAAATCAGATCAGGAGCTAAGTGTACACACTTGTCACGGACGAGCATTCTGTCCTATGTAGATTGTATTTCAATGAAATGGATATAAATTTAGGGGCACCTAGGTGGTGCAGTGAGCCTCCGGTTCTTGGTTTCATCTCAGGCTGTGATCTCAGGGTCCTGAGATCGAGCCCCGTGGCAGGCTCCATGCATAGCATGGACCCTGCTTGAGATTCACTCTCCTTTCCCCTCTGCCCCTCCCCCACCCAGCGCTCGCTCATGCTCTCTCTCTCTCTCTCTCTCTCTCTCTCAAATAAATAAATAAATCTTAAAAATACTGATATAGGTTTTCAGGAAGAAATAGAAAGCCTGAACAGACCCATAACCAGTAAGGAGATTGAAACAGTCATCAAAAATCTCCAAACAAACAAAAGCCCAGGGCCAGATGGCTTCCCGGGGGAATTCTACCAAACATTTAAAGAAGAACTAATTCCTATTCTCCTGAAACTGTTCCAAAAAATAGAAATGGAAGGAAAACTTCCAAACTCATTTTATGAGGCCAGCATCACCTTGATCCCAAAACCAGACAAGGATCCCATCATAAAAGAGAACTACAGACCAATATCCTTGATGAACACAGATGCAAAAATTCTCGCCAAAATACTAGCCAATAGGATTCAACAGTACATTAAAAGGATTATTCACCACGACCAAGTGGGATTTATTCCAGGGCTGCAAGGTTGGTTCAACATCCGCAAATCAATCAATGTGATACAACACATTAATAAAATAAAGAACAAGAACCATATGATACTCTCCATAGATGCTGAAAAAGCATTTGACAAAGTACAGCATCCCTTCCTGATCAAAACTCTTCAAAGTGTAGGGATAGAGGGCACATACCTCAATATTATCAAAGCCATCTATGAAAAACCCACCGCAAATATCATTCTCAATGGAGAAAAACTGAAAGCTTTTCCGCTAAGGTCAGGAACACGGCAGGGATGTCTGTTATCACCCCTGCTATTCAACATAGTACTAGAAGTCCTAGCCTCAGCAATCAGACAACAAAAGGAAATTAAAGGCATCCAAATTGGCAAAGAAGAAGTCAAACTATCACTCTTTGCAGATGATATGATACTATATGTGGAAAACCCAAAAGACTCCACTCCAAAACTGCTAGAACTTGTACAGGAATTCAGTAAAGTGTCAGCATATAAAATCAATGCACAGAAATCAGTTGCATTTCTCTACACCAACAACAAGACAGAAGAAAGAGAAATTAAGGAGTCAATCCCATTTACAATTGCACCCAAAACTATAAGATACCTAGGAATAAATCTAACCAAAGAGACTAAGAATCTATACACAGAAAACTATAAAGTACTCATGAAAGAAATTGAGGAAGACACGAAGAAATGGAAAAATGTTCCATGCTCCTGGATTGGAAGAATAAATATTGTGAAAATGTCTATGCTACCTAAAGCAATCTACACATTTAATGCAATTCCTATCAATGTACCATCCATTTTTTTTCAAAGAAATGGAACAAATAATCCTAAAGTTTATATGGAACCAGAAAAGACCTCGAATAGCCAAAGCAATATTGAAAAAGAAAGCCAAAGTTGGTGGCATCACAATTCCGGACTTCAAGCTCTATTACAAAGCTGTCATCATCCAGACAGCATGGTTCTGGCACAAAAACAGACACATAGATCAATGGAACAGAATAGAGAGCCCAGAAATAGACCCTCAACTCTATGGTCAACTCATCTTCGACAAAGCAGGAAAGAATGTCCAATGGAAAAAAGACAGCCTCTTCAACAAATGGTGTTGGGAAAATTGGACAGCCACATGCAGAAAAATGAAATTGGATCATTTCCTTACACCACACACGAAAATAGACTCAAAATGGATGAAGGATCTCAATGTGAGAAAGGAATCCATCAAAATCCTTGAGGAGAACACAGGCAGCAACCTCTTCGACCTCAGCCGCAGCAACATCTTCCTAGGAACATCGCCAAAGGCAAGGGAAGCAAGGGCAAAAATGAACTATTGGGATTTTATCAAGATCAAAAGCTTTTGCACAGCAAAGGAAACAGTTAACAAAACCAAAAGACAACTGACAGAATGGGAGAAGATATTTGCAAATGACATATCAGATAAAGGGCTAGTGTCTAAAATCTATAAAGAACTTAGCAAACTCAACACCCAAAGAACAAATAATCCAATCAAGAAATGGGCAGAGGACATGAACAGAGATTTCTGCAAAGAAGACATCCAGATGGCCAACAGACACATGAAAAAGTGCTCCACATCACTCGGCATCAGGGAAATACAAATCAAAACCACAATGAGATACCACCTCACACCAGTCAGAATGGCTAAAATTAACAAGTCAGGACATGACAGATGCTGGCGAGGATGCGGAGAAAGGGGAACCCTCCTACAGTGTTGGTGGGAATGCAAGCTGGTGCAACCACTCTGGAAAACAGCATGGAGGTTCCTCAAAATGTTGAAAATAGAACTACCCTATGACCCAGCAATTGCACTGCTGGGTATTTACCCTAAAGATACAAACGTAGTGATCCGAAGGGGCACGTGCACCCGAATGTTTATAGCAGCAATGTCTACAATAGCCAAACTATGGAAAGAACCTAGATGTCCATCAACAGACGAATGGATAAAGAAGATGTGGTATATATACACAATGGAATACTATGCAGCCATCAAAAGAAATGA